TTTTTTTTTCTTCCCTCCATTCCCTACAACCCAAACACATTAAAAAATAACATATAAAGTTGTGCAAAAAAAATTGTTTCTTAATCATTTTTTTTAAATCATCCTATTTGCCATTTTCCTCTTTTGGATTAATACCATATTTGGCATATATCTTGCTTTCCTTAAACAGAAAAGTGAAGTCATACAAGTATTGATAGAGACAGCAAGTTCTTTAATATTGAGATCTACTTCTAAATTAATGGTTAAAATATACAATCTATATAGTAAAATAATATCATTTTTCTTAAAACTTCCCATTTCTTCTTGACGAACTGGGCAATCGAATTGATTTCTTAATGAAAAATTCAAACTTGAATTTGTTCTCGATTCAGTTGTGTTTGATTTTGATAGAGCTCAAGGTGGCCCCGAGCTCATTTAGATTACAAGTCTTTTGGTTTTTTAATTTTAGGTTATATAATAAAAAAAAAACTCTTTTATTTCATTTATATATTTTATCCTCAACTTTAACCTTGAAATGCAATTTATTGTCAAAGTACAAAAATGCTTATCTAGATTTTTTTTTTCCTTTTTGAGAAATGCTTATCTAGAATTTTAATAGTAATGAGTTATTATTAGCAAAAACGAAGAAGGGGTGTTTGTAATTTGTCTAATACAAAAATGCTTATCTAAATTTTCATAATAAATATTTTACATTTAAATTTTAAAATAAAAAAAAAGTTTGAAATTTTTTTTTTTCTTTGTTGTGTATCACATCATCAACTTAAAATAAAAAATTATTAGTAAAAAAATGAAAATTGTTTACGATTTTTAATTTTATAGAAAGAAAACGAAAAAAAAAAAAGGGGGAAAAACAAGAGAGATAGAAAGACACGCAAAAACCGCGAGGCGTACCCTCTTCTGCTTCCCCAATTAAACTCGGATTCTCCTATCCATTTTCGGTTTCCTTAACGCGCTATATTTCTCAGAACACAGTGGATTTTGCAGATTACCGATCCCAATTGAATCAATGGAGTCGATGCAAAGGAGGGTGGAGACATGGATCAAGGACCAGAGAGCCAAGATTCAGAAGGTGTCCCGGGCGCCACTGCAGTGGGGGATGAGATGGCAGTGGTTTCCCTGGAACAACGGCGACAGGCAACAGCGCCAGAAGCTCCAGCAGGAGTACGAGAGGCGGAAGCGCCAGCTCCACGAGCTCTGTCTCGCCGTCAAGGCTGATTCCGTCGCTGATTTGCAGGACATTCTCTGTTGCATGGTCCTCTCTGAGTGCGTTTACAAGGTACTTCGTAGGTGACGAACTTATGCGATTTCCTTCTTGTTTCGTCGGAATTTTGATTTAAAAATTCATCATTATGCTTGATCAAGAAGCTTGTGTTAGTTTCATTTGAGAATTTGAGCTGTGAATTAAGTAGCAGTAACCTCTTATTGTGGAATTAGTCCTGGTTATGCATCTTATTTACAGAATTTGCGGTTTCTTATGTATTGCACTTACTGACTTGGTAGAGACCTGCTACTGACATGGTTCGAGCTGTAAACAAATTTAAAGCTGACTTTGGAGGACAAATTGTTTCTCTTGAGCGTGTGCAACCTTCTTCAGATCATGTTTCTCACAGGTTATTTGATTATCTATTTGATGAGGTTTATTAAACTTTGTTTTTGTTTCTTTTGTTCACTGGGGAAAGAAGGAGCCATTTGATCCAGTTAGGTATTGGTAGAAGATCTTGATTACTAGGGGGTGGACCTGTTATACATCATTAGACAGTAGACACTAGAATAATATGGATGGTGTCTGATGAGATAATTGATAATCTTGGAAGTATTATACAATTTAAATTGCTAGATATTTACAAGGACAAAAGGTTAGCTTTTCTAAGGTGTACATGACATTCCTAAAAAAATTCTTTTTGTCCACTATTTGGCATGAGTTTTTTTAAGCCAATGTAAATATCTAGGGATACTCTCTGCTCCTTGTTTGTCTGTAAACATTATCAAACATGGAAAACTGGAAAATTTAAAGGTAAAAAATGAAAATCAGTAAATCTATCCCTAAAATGGAAAACTGACATTGTTACCCTCAGCTTTAACATCAGGATAATGTTCTATATGGAGTGGAATGAAAAATGGGATTCGTGCACATAACCTTTACATAGCTTGGATGATGTGCCGAGTATAGCTTGTTTCCTGCAAATTCATTAGTACTGAATGTTCCTACATTATACATATTAAAAAATGTAGTTTTTATAAAGACTCAACCAAAGTTCTAGCCCATAGGAGATCAAGGATAGAAATAACCATGGTGAAAGTACACATAGCATTGGGGAATGCTCTTCCTATGAAATTTTGAATATTCATCTGGACAAATTTATCTGTTTTCCATAATTGGGCTCTCAAAGATGCATGGATATGTCCTTTTTTATGACTTTATGTGAGAGGTATTTGTATTGCAGATACTTGTTGGCAGAAGCGGGTGACACTTTATTTGCTTCCTTTATTGGAACCAAACAGTACAAGTAAGTATAATAGGTAATTTGTTAGTATAGTAGGTAATTTATTATTTGATATTCTAACTGCTTATTATTTTTTAAAATTGTGATTTTTTTGTCATTTGATTTCACCAAGGGATGTCATGGCCGATGCAAATATACTGCAAGGGGATATATTTCATGAGGATGTTGTAGAGGATTTTGACCGGGTTGAACCAACTGAATGTAACCCAGGTGAAAGGCAGAAAGTAAATGGAGAAAATCAGCTGAATTCCCCTGAAATAAAACCTAAGCAAATTAAAGACAAACCTAAACCTGCTGCTCATAGGGTATGCTCAGAGTCCGTTTTTGATATTGTTGATCTCTTTTTGCTTTTGGTATCCCATTATACTCTACATTCTAGCATATATTGCTTGTTAAATTGTTTCTTTTAAAACATTCTCTTTAGGGTTTCTTGGCTCGTGCTAAAGGGATACCTGCTTTGGAGTTATACCGGCTTGCTCAGAAAAAGAAACGGAAACTTGTTCTATGTGGACATTCACTTGGTGGAGCAGTAAGTTTGATTAGCCAACATTGCTTAAGATTTGCCTTGCTTCTACTCTCCAACCAATTAATTCTCTGTCCACTCTATTTTTGCTATGCAGGTTGCAGCATTAGCTACCCTTGCCATTTTGAGGGTTGTTGCTGTCTCTTCTTCAAAAGAGAATGAGAAGGTTCTGGTCAAATGTATAACATTTTCCCAACCTCCAGTAGGGAATGCAGCCTTAAGAGAGTAGGTTCTTTACCATTTTCGTAAATAGTTATCTCAGAAATGTCAAAAGATAAAGTTCATATGTGTATTGATGTAAAATATTTTTTCCAGTTATGTTAATAACAAAGGATGGCAACATTATTTTAAGAGTTACTGCATTCCTGAAGATTTGGTGCCTCGTTTCCTTTCACCTGCCTATTTTGATCATTACAACTCACAGACATTATTATCAACAAGTGAAGTTGGAGATGCTGTTTTATCAACCTCAAAAGATGAAAGAGGGGCAGAGAAAGGGAGAGCAGAGAAACTAAAAGTGAATGAAGAGGAGCAGTTGGTTATGGGTGTAGGCCCTGTCCAGAGTCCTTTCTGGAGACTTTCTAAGCTTGTTCCACTGGAAGGTGTTAGAAGACAATTAAACAAATACAGAGGAAAGCAAGTTGGTCCCCTAGAGGCAACTTCAACTGAATCTGCAACATCTTCAGTTGAGGATATAACTGTTAGACCACAGTCTCTTGAAATTCAAGAGGGTACTGATGGCATATCCCTTCGACCTTTTTCTGAGACTGACAATGGGCCCTTAGATGTAGCAACCGAAAAGTCAGCAGGAAAAAACAACACCACTGGTGGGGATAATGGGAGATGGAAAAGGCTGCCATATTTACCTTCTTATGTACCATTTGGACGGGTATTTATTATGGTCTCTATTATTTATTTTATTATATTAATTTTCTTTGAGGTACATGCTTGGAGAATGGAGACATGAAAGCCAGAAGTTCTTGCTAATTTTTCAATAATGAATTGGCTTTGTTGGTAACATGAAATTATTTGTCAATTAGCATTTTGATGGGATTGTTTCTATTGTGTTGATGTGTTCTCAATTAGCAATTTTTATTTCTCATAGGCAGTCATAGCCAAACTTTGAATGTCTGCCTAGGTATGTTTCATGATATCTTACATTTATGAAATTATTAAGGGTTTTCTGTAGAATTCTCTTGACTAGTATTCTTAAGTGTTATTCAGCTGTCCTTTGTGTCTGGCATGAAAGCTTAAGCATTCAGGGTTTTAATTAGGACAAATCAAGTACATCCCTTTGCACTCATTAAGATATATTTGGGAGCTTAGATGCTTTTGAAAAATGTGTACACCTGTCTCCTATTATCCCACACTTATTAAAGAAAGGCAGAGGAGTAGGACAAAGGAATAAGAACTTCTAGTTGTCTCACCCTTAAGATCCATTTCTTTTCCTGGAAGTTGTTTTTGTTACCAATATACTGGAATCTTAGGTTAGAGATTTCCAGCAACAGGGAATCACCTGAATTAGTTCCTTTTTTGCTACTCTACTGAGCATGCTGCTTTGCAAGTTTAACATGCTGTTTTGCAAGTTTAACATGCTGTTCTTTGACATAACAGCTTTATCTGTTGGGCAATTCATCAGTGGAATTACTATCAGGTGCAGAGTACTCAAAGTTGACATCGGTATGAGCTTCTTATATATACAGTTTCCTTTTAGGCTTTGTTCTGATAGGAACATCTAGCATGCAATAGATAGTAATTTTTGTAGTTTTCAGTAGGCTATTGCATACTTATGAAAATACTAGCCCAGATATATTGTCTTCTGCATCTCTCATTGTGTTTGCTTTCTTCTGGCAAAGACATTTTCAGGTCAAATCTGTAATTGCAGAACTGAGGGAAAGGTTTCAGTCCCATTCAATGAAGTCATATAGGTCTCGATTTCAAAGGTAATATGATACTACTGAGCAATTTTTAACTCCTTTTTGTGTTTATTTTACCTCCTGATCCTATTCCTACTATTTCCCATTATTTGTATTGGTTGGCATTTTCATGACTCAGCATAATTGATGCAAAATTAGTATTGCACCTCATTAGGTGGCAGCATTCCATGCTTTCTAGAACTGCAGCCAATGTTTCATGCTTTTTTCATCTGGTGTCATTTGAATCTCTTGCTTGCTTTTTCTAACTTCTTATTTGGGATAATCTTTGTTGAGTTCTTCCATTTGGGTGATTTTTTTTAATACTATTGCCATAAAAAATAATATGCTCTCATTTATTTATTGTAACTTTTTTTTGCAGAATTTATGATCTGTGCATGAATGATGGTGCTTCATCTTTCCTGGGAATGGAGCAGTTAGAGCAGTTTCCACATTTACAACAATGGCTTGGTCTGGCAGTTGCTGGTACCGTAGAGCTTGGGCATATTGTTGAGTCCCCAGTTATTCGTGCAGCCACTTCACTTGTTCCTCTTGGATGGAATGGTATTCCTGGTGACAAGAATGCAGAACCCTTGAAGGTTGATATTGCTGGATTTGGATTGCATCTCTGTACCCTGGTTCATGCACAAGTAAATGGCAGATGGTATTGTCCCTTGCTTGTCTCTCTTTTTCCATTCAGCATCCTATGTTTGACTGCTTGAGTATTAAATATGATTAGTAAGGAAAATTAGTTCATATCAAATTGAGCAAAATCTAGTAGTTGTGATGAATTTTCGAAAGATAAATCAATTTTGAATGTAGAAATGAAGAACCAAATCTGTGACAACCTTCCAGATTATTTGGCAGTCTTTACCATAGTTTATTTGCAGTTGTGACTTGTGAGAAAGATCTCATAGTAGTGGCACTAAAACATACTTCAGAAGATTGGGCAGATGTTTACCATAATATCAAAGTAAAAATTGCATTTAACTTATATGGGATAGAACAGCCTTGAAGTAATGTGATTTGGTCTCTAAAAACTTGTAAATAGCAACAGTGATCAATTGTTAAAGGTTTAACGGCTGCAACTAAGCAGAGTTTTTGACTGGTAACAATGGGCAAAGAAAGTATGGGAAAGAAAGAATGATATAAAATTCCATAGGGCGTTGTTTGACAATGAACTTGAAGATCCAAACGAACAACCAAGCTACTTTAGAATGTTGATGACTTGTACTACTGTGCTATTAGCATGAGTTGGCAGTTGGTACCCAATAACTTCAAAACCTTAATTTAGGAGCTAAGGATTAGGGGTTCAAACCTCTACAATTGCTAAGCACTAACTTTGTTGATTAAAAAAATTGGTAGACCATAAATAACCTGTCACAATAAAGAAAATGTAAACCCATCTCAATAATCTGTTCTGTTCTAGCCTTCCAGGTATAACAAAAATTTGAAATTACCATCTTTCTTTTCCTCTTTGTTTTTTTTTTTTTTGAACATGAGGAAAGAAAAAGATTGCAAATCTAAGCAATCATGGTATGGTAGAGCTAGAATGTTCTTGGCTGAGCGCCATAGAAAGCAGGATGTTAAATATGAGCAATCATGGTACCATGAATAAGATTTTCTATGCATTAGTTGAATGGATGAGAAACCAATGTATGATATATAGACTACCTTGCATGGTTTTCAACAAAGTAACACATGCTGCTCTTTTTTTTCCCATATGACATGCACATCCAAACAAGATATGACCATTTAGCCTATATTCTATACACTAAAAGTCATGGTGTCTTGTTGTGTATGACAAATTATTATGACAATCCATTATATTTTTATTCAGGTGTTCAACAACTGTGGAATCATTTCCTTCCGCACCTACTTACTCTTCCAATTATGGAGAACCACTGGAATTGCAAAAAATAAGAGTTATAGTTGGAGCTCCCTTGAGACAACCTCCAAAGCATCAGTCAATAGCAGATTCTTTGTTGTCCATGTTTCCTACAATTGATTCAGACGGTGTTAATCTCAGTGGACAAAATATTTTTGGATTATCTCAACAGAAAAAATTCTTGCGTCCTGAAAGTTTGAGTAATTTTTTCATTTTCTGCACCAGTGATTTTTCAACTGTCTTCAAGGAGGTTCATGTCAGGACTCGTAGAGTACGGTTACTTGGCTTTGAGGTATTATGTTTTTCCAGTCTTAACTCATAAGTTGTCCATTGTTTTTTGTTTTACATGTTACTAAAAACTGACTTATGGGTGTTAGGGTGCTGGTAAAACTTCTCTTTTCAAGGCAATATTGGGTCAAGGAAAGTTAACCACCCTTACTGATATTGAGAATCTGCATCTAGACACTGATATTCAGGAAGGTATTGCTGGTGGTTTATGCTACTCTGATTCAACTGGAGTAAATTTGCAGGTAATTTTTTCTGTGAATGCCTGAAGGAGGATTGTTGATAGATGTTTATGTTTTACAATTGAAAGTTAGATTGCAAATTGGATTGGCCTGGGAATTTGTTGTCTCATTTTAAATCACCTTATAATCTATACTAGATAGTTGTACTGAGGATGTATTTTTTGTTCAAGTGTAATATTAGATGTTCGAAGGTTTGCATCCTGATGTTGGAATTAGTGAAAGGTTCTCAAAGTACTGTTTTTCGCAACTCCATGTCTGTAGATATAGGTTAACTGATGACTTTTTTGGCCAGAACAGATTGACTGAGTACTAGACTCCCAGTTCTATAGCAAAATGTAATGCACGCAACTTGAGCATGTTCTTTCCTTTGAGATTTCCTGCATTCAGATGAAGCATAGCAATTTTAATTCTATTCCCTATTCCCTATAATTATTTCTACTAGGTGCAATCCAATTAGCTGAACATGCTGCTACTGTTTCCAAATGTGTCTTGTGTTGTATGCCTAAAGATGCATTCTGGAGTGGGATTCTGAACTCTAAAGGTTTTTAAGCAATAAAATCAGGACTTTCTACTGGCTTCTTTTCTTTGTAATACACAGTTTAAATTTAGATAAACACAACATATTAACTTTATGTGGAGTGTACCATGAATATATTTGGTACTAGCATGAGTAACTCTTACCTGCTGAAAAAATCTTCCTTGACATTAATTTATAAAAATTGTCATTTTATATATATACGGCAATGTTCTGGGTCTCTTAGAAAAGAAGTGATTCCTTGACATGCTAATATGGCCTTTGAGATAGGTTCACAAGCCTAGACTTCTTGCTGAATTGACAACCTTTTAGTAACATTTGCAATCTCCACTTATCTGTGACCTTCATAGAATCACTTTGTCTGTGGCTTCAGCACCATCTCTCTTCACATTTAATTCATATTTTATACCACCAAATTATACTATGAATTTTCTTTCCACCTTTGTTATAGATACCACCTTCAAGGATACATGCTGGTTGGAGTTTGACTCTTAAGGCTGATTAGTACACTGCAGCTTCTTTAGCTGCATGTAAATGAATGGAGTTGTGCATTCAATGTTTTGCATTACACAAAATAAAAGAGGGAGTTTGAGTACAAAACTTCAACAAAACTTCAACATGCTCAGAAGCTGCATCTGTTATTGATTTTGAAAATTCTCATAACTTTTATTTCCCTCTTTCTTTTTTTTCTTTTTTTACCTCTTTCTTATGTGCTTTTCAAATTCCCCTGATCCTCCTGTTTGCTTGCATGTTGCAGGAGCTGACAGCTGAAGCCACTCGTTTCAGAGATGAATTATGGAGGGGAATCCGTGACCTTAGTAGGAAGACTGATTTGGTTGTTCTTGTGCATAATCTGTCCCACAGAATACCTCGATACAATCACCCAAATTCATCAAACCAATATCCAGCTCTTTCTCTACTGTTAAATGAGGCAAAAGCTCTTGGAATCCCTTGGATCCTTGCCATAACAAACAAATTTTCTGTTAGTGCACACCAACAGAAAGCTGCAATTGATGCAGTCATGCAAGCATATCAAGCATCTCCTAGCACCACAGGTGTTATCAATTCTTGTCCATATGTTATCCCTAGTGCTGCTAGCGCTTCTTTATCTTGGAGTGTGATTGGTGAAGAATCTGATGGGAAGATGGGTGTTCAGAAGTTTCTTTCTGCTCCAATAAACCTAGTTCGGAGGCCTTTCCAGAGGAAAGACACAATATTCCCCATGGAGGGTATAAATTCTCTCAGCCGGCTTGTCAACCATGTGCTTCAGAGTCAAGAAGAGGCGTCCATGGAGGTAGAAAATTTATTTTTCATAACTTTATTTGTGTATTCTATGAGTTCCTCCTAGAGATTATAAAATAGGCATTAAGAAAAATCGTTAATAATATGATTTTCAATGTGCAAAGTTGAGAGAATTACCCCCCAACCACCTCTTACAAACTCACAAAATAATAATAAGAAAAAGAATAGAATTTAATGGTTGTGTAGCATAGAAAACATAAATGCTATTATTTGTATGAAAGAAGGCAAAAACTGTCCCATCTACCCTTTTTGTTTTAGCAAGACTTTTATGTCTAAGCAAATTGATTTTAGGCTTTTTGTAACATGGGTGAAATGTTATGCAAATTCTAGACTAGAGTGAAATATCTTCTGTAGCATGATTTGCTCTGATTGGTACTTGAGAACATGGGTGACATGTTAGGCATAAGCTTCTTATGGGAGTCTTTTCCTTGGCTAGAATTGAACTTTGAGCCTGAAGTCTTCAATTAGTTCGATTTGTTAAGTTGCATGTTTTAACATGAAGGAATGAACTTGGGATGGTTATCTGGGCAATCAACTTCAATGTTAAATATGCAGAAAAATAAAGAAGGAACTTTCTTGTTATTTAGGATGCTGTCTATGAAATTCAGTTCTTATGTTATGCTAACAATATGATTCTTGGACATAAAGAGAAAATTAAAAGAAGATAATTTGGTTCTTATTGCTTTTAAATACGCTTGTGAAAACAATTTGAGATTTCTTCTTTCTCTTTATTTATTTATTTATTTATTTTTTAACTCATATGTTGAAATAATATTTCAGGAATTTGCAAGAGATAGGCTTGAAGTAGAGTTAGCTCAAGAACGAGCAAGGAAATTGGATAGACATCCAGAGTCTCGAGCCAAAGCATCTGCCAAGACCGCTGCGGCTGTGGGTGCTACCTTTGGTGCTGGTGTGGGTATTGTCTTAGCTGTAGTCATGGGTGCAGCATCTGCATTGAGGAAGCCTTGAGTATTTATTTAATTCGATTTTTATTCTCTAATGATAGTCAAGACAATTAGTCTTCCTCTTCCTGATTTGGGATTCTGGCGTGTTTGGAAATTCAGTTAAATTTACTAGGATTCTGGCACGTTTTGCTTTCTCCATAGGTGTAAATAGAAGTATCTTAGGTACCAGAAGCAGATGATCTGCCTTTTTTTCATTAGGCCTTCGATTATTAGCTATTTATTGATTCCATTCTTGTACATCTATTGTAACTCAGAGTGGATTATGTATCTTTGTTTTTGGATGGGAAAACCCCACCAGTAAGGATGTAAACATTTTTGTCTTTCACATATAATGGCTGAGTTTTAGGTTCTGTTCAAACATACAAACTATGGTAAAAATTACTTAATGGTGGAATGATCTGACTTGTTCTTATAAGGTGAAAATTCAATTTTAAGTCTACCACGAGTGGATATGTTCTAATCAAATATATTTTAGGTGTATTAGAATTGTATAAAATATTCATAATACCTCTTTAGGTGTAATAATTAAAATATTATGTTGTAGTTGAAATTAATTAAATAACTATTGAAATTTTTTCATAAAAAATAGAGATTTTACAGAAAAATAAAAAGAGATTACATTAAAATCTCTATATATCATGGTATTATAATACAAAATTGTAGCATAACTTAGGTATATATGGGATAAAAGCAATTGCTATAGGGGTAAAATCAAAGCTATTTAGGTGAGAAGATTATCTTATTTAGTGGTTAAAACTTCTATAAAATTCCACTAGGGAATTCAAAACTTTGGTAAAATTTCATTGGCAAAAGAAGATAACTCATTAAACGACAGTTAAACTGTTGGTTTTTTCTTAAACTAAACAAGCCTTAATTTCTAATCCACCTGTTATGATACGGCTCATAATCTATGTACCAATTGCCTGATACGGCTCACAGTCTTTGTACCACTGACTATCGTCCCTCAGTTGTACCATAGAACCTGACAACAAGGGAAGGAGAAAATAAGGGAGAAAAATATGATAAGGGAAACAGCAAAGGAGGAGAAGGATAGGCAAAAAAGCGAACGTTAAAGGAAAAGAGGCAGAGAGGAGGAAGGACTCAAG